TCCCGTCTCTTCTTGGATTCTATTGACTCCCCGTTTGGAGAAGGGTGGGGCCACCGGCGTTCTAAGCATGACAGATAGCAACCGGCATCTCATGACACCCCAGCACGATCGCCGGTTTTCGGGCGCCCTGACCAGCCCCTATCAGAAACTAGAACCCCGCTATCAACGGTTACGGAGTCACTGAATCCCCCGTAGATGCCGAACTGCTTGGTGAGATAAGCTTCCCGCTTCGGCTTGGTACTTGTAGGAACCGTCGCGCGCTCCCATGCTGGAAGAGCATCATCATGGATCTATCAAAGAAGGATGCTACGCAATTTGCGCAAACTTCTGCGTCAAATTCAGACGTCGAACATGGAGCCGTCGGTACGACTTATGAGGTCAAACGCGACCTTGGGCGTCGTCATATCAACATGATTGCCATAGCTGGCATGATCGTAGGTCAAACCACTTCAAAGCATTCTTGTAATCGCCATACTCATGCACCAACTTTAGGGCACCGGACTTTTCTTAGCATCCGGCCAGGCCATCGCTACCGCAGGACCAGTCGGCGCTCTCTTCGGATATCTGTGCATGGGCTTAATTGCATGCGGTGTCGCCCTGTCTGCAGGAGAGATGTCGGCGTTTATGCCTGTCACTGGAGGATTTGTCCGCCATGCCACGAAGTTCGTGCAACCTGCACTCGGCATCGCAACCGGATGGAACTTTTGGTACACCATGGCAATTACGGCGCCAGCTGAGCTCGCGGCTGCGGCAACTTTGATCAACTTCTGGGACAACAGCATTAACCCTGCTGTTTGGTACTCGGTGTTTATTGTGATCATCGTGATCATCAACTTCTGCGGAGTGAAGGTTTATGGCGAGGTGAGTCCTGACGCAACCTACTTTTGGCTCATATATATCTGACAATTCAAAGAGCGAGGTCTTCTTCGCAGCTCTCAAGATCCTTCTCATCATAGGTCTCATCATCGCCGGCCTAGTCGTCGACCTTGGAGGATCCCCTAGTGGAGATCGAATCGGCTTTCGGTACTGGAAGAACCCCGGTCCTTTCAACGAATACATCGTCCCTGGTAACACTGGCAAGTTCCTCGGGTTCTGGAGCTCCTTGATCTCGGCAGCCTACAGCTACGCGAACATCCAGGTGGTCGCCATCGCTGGCGCCGAGACAAGGAACCCAAGAGTCATCATCCCGAACGCTATTCGGATGACGTTCTGGAGAGTTCTCATCTTCTATGTTGTCAGCATTTTCATCGTTGGCATGCTTGTACCGTTCAACGACCCGAACCTTGGCATCTCTACGGGTGATGCTCAGCAGAGTCCTTTCGTCATTGCGTTCCAGCGCGCAGGTATCAACGTTCTGCCCTCGATCATCAACGCCATCGTGTGCACTTCGGCCTTTAGCTGTGGCTCTGCATGCGTCTTCCTTGCATCACGTACCCTGTACGGGCTAGCAGAGGACGGACAGGCTCCCCGCGTCTTGCTTCGCACAAACCGGTTCGGAACACCATACTTGGCGATCGGAGCTTCGCTCATTTTTATGCCACTGGTCTATCTTAGTCTGGGGAGTAATTCATCCGTCGTGTTCGGGTGGTTTGTCAACATTACAACTATTGCTGGACTGATTGGGTGGCTTGTCATCGAAGTCACGTACCTGAGGTTCTTCTACGCATTGAAGGTGCAGGGTATCAGTCGAGACCGTAAGTTCACACCCTCTGTTTCTGCTGAAGATTGTGCTGATACTACCAGGTCTCGCATACAAGAGCCCCTTACAGCCATACCTCGCCTGGGTCACCGGTGGGGCGCTCGTCCTTGTCATCTTGTTCTCAGGCTACAGCGTCTTCTTCCCAGGTCGTTGGAGCGTGGGCACCTTTCTCACGTATTACGTCGATATAGCCATCTTCATCTTCTTGTGGGTTGCTGGGTTCTGCTACGCGAGGTCAGGCATCATTGCTTTGCGAGATGTTGATCTGTCGGAGATTGCGGATGTTGACCATGACAAGGCGGAGATTTTGGTTTCAGTGGAACAAAATCTCTCATGGTGGAGAAAGTGGGTAATATAGTTTACGGTGGAAACTCGTAATATCTTCAATGAGAAAGTGCATGTTGTCCAGAAACCCAGGCCTCGATGATTTTTATGAGAGTGGCACATGATAAACATACACAGTAGCAAAGGGCAAACAATATTGGGAAATTGCAACAATATGTGCAGAGTTCATGCTATAGGTATATACATAGAAGTAGAATGAAGCACATCAAGCTTCAATGTGATTGCGAGAAGACGATCCTAGCGCCCAATCCATCGCATATCCAGATCCACCTACGTCTAGTAGGTGGCGACCTTGGGACCGGGAACAGTGTAGGAGTTGAAGTTGGCGTAGATGTTCGCGGTGTAGCCGGAGTCGGTGCTCTTGACATGGCCGGGGATCTTGGTAGTGGGAGAGGGCTTTCCGCTGCCTCCTCCAGTGACCTTGATCTGAGCGCAGGAGATGTAGAATTGGGGCGGGCTGCCGGGGTTGTGGATACCGAGCTGCTCGATGCGGAGGAGGTACTCTCCAGCGGGGATCTGGGAGGGGATGGTGGTGGAGTAGGTAGCTAAGAAAGTGTTAGATACATTCCAGTGCGAGATTGGAGTTTGTGACTTACCACTCATGTCCCACTTGGCCTGGCCTCCGGAGAAGGTGGGTCCAATCTCCTTGATCTTGAACCAGTCGGAGGAGCCATCTGCAGCGGCAGCAGAGTCGACCTTGGTCATGTAAAAGGTAACGGGACCTTGGTGGTAGACAGCCTGGTCGGCGGTGAAGGAGACGGTGGAGCCAGCAGCGACCGAGACGGTGGTGGTGCCGCTGCCCGAGTTACCGCCAGCATTGCATCGCAAGTTCTTGTCCGCAAGGTCGGTGACGGGGCTGTTGTTGGGAACGGGCCTGATGTTCTGGAAGTTGGCACCCTTCACACCGTTGGCGGTGAGCTGTTGGAAGATGTCTTGTACCTGTTAGTATATGCTGGTGCAGAATGAGTGGTGAAGTGCCATACAGTGGCCCGAGGCAACGTTGGCAAAGGCCGCGACGGCGGTGGCGATAGCAACACACTTCATGATGTGAGATTGGTAAGTGAGAGACTGAGGAGTATAGCGAATGAACTTGAAGGTGCTGATGATCTTGGTAGAGAATACGAGAGCAAAGTCCCCGGTTCTTATATATGTTCTTCCTCACAGATACAACGCCTCGAATGGATACCACTCCATATTGCAGCACGCAGGACATGACCAGAGAGGGTAAACGTCAAGCCATGATTGGCCCAAGCATGAAACTCGAAATGAAGAAACGTCACAGGACAGGCACGATGGGTACTGCAAGGCGGCAAAGAACCCGGGACGTGAGGTGGAGTGTGGATACTCATTGCCGGTGGCAGTTCGTAGAATTTTCCTTCTGGAACGACCTTGTGACAGCCTTCGACGAGGCGAACAAGTGATGGTATGGCAGGTAATATCGCGAGTATGGGGGCTTGACATGCAGGACTGCAGGTCATTGGTCATGCATGCACGAAATGTGCATACCCGACGAATAGGAAAAGCGCATATGCCGGCGACGGTGGGTTCTATCCGTCGGAGCTAGAGACTGGCGCATTTGCTGGAACTGTACAACACTGGACGCCTAGGATAGATTAATATCTGGGGTAATATGTTTTTAATCACCATGGACCAAGCTAGGGCGGAACTTGAGGCGATGTGAAGAAAAAGGAAACAAGACCGATCCACAATGTCCACCCAAACTTGTTGTCGCACATGTACACCAGTGTACTACGGCAAAATATGAGTCTTGTCTGAACTTCTGAGGTGTTGTTGTTCGTGCGAACGACTCGCAACGGCGTAGATGTTTCATGCCGAGTCATGCAATCGACGCAACCGGATGCCGAACGACAAACGAGGTGATGATTGCCACAACCTCTATCGCTTGAAACAGGCACCTGAGAGCGTGTATATTAATCTTGCTGAAAGGTTTTTGTGCAATGTCCTGCACATGCAGGCTCAGTCATTTCTCCAAGGTCGATCGAGTAATCGATGCAGCAGGTGGCTGGTCAATTTCCCATCTCTTGTCGCAAACTTGAACAAAAGCAACCTTCTCTGGAAATCAAAGGGTTGCTCGCTTGCGCTGTGGATCTGGAGTAAGGCCCGCTCTTCCTGAGCCAGGCTGGCAGCGTGGACATGAGTATTCCAAAAGTGAGTTCCGAAGTTCGCTATGTCCAGTCTGCTTCTTTTGTTACGAGAATTAGCTTGATCTTCAGCAATGTGATGTTTGTGGTGCTGAAGAGATCGCAGGTGATGGCGCGTCACTGGAGCAGTCCAGCAGACGCGTTTGGTGAGGCCCAGCCCCCTGCGAACATCACTCTGTCGCGTAAGCCAGGTACGAAATCTCGCTGCGCCGTACAGGCTATGTCAAAAGCGCTGAAATAGGATTTGTACCCCTATTTATCAAGCAAGTTAATGCATCAGCTTCGAAATATCTTGGAGATACGCGCCTGTGGTTCCTACCTGGGTAGGTAGGTTTACCTGGCTTCCGCGACAGCGCTAGATGCCTTGGTAGAGCTTCATTCAACATACTTGCCTGGAATGTCGTTATCGGACCAATTAAAGTCGCATGAGGCCCGGGTCGCACAGCTGGAGAGTATTTGCTTGAAGCTTGCCACGTTGAGTGGCAGCATGGGGGCAACCTTCCTGCTTCCAAAGCTGGAAGGTTGGGACATCGGGAAGCGGGGTACGACACGTGATCCCGTTGCACGTCGCGTCGCCATCGACATACGCCTAGTACTGACCCGGAAAGTCCATGCGAAAACTGTACGAAGATACGCCAGGTCCACAGTCTTATCACATCGAATGCTGTGTTAGGGCAACAGCGTTGGGCGGTAGTTCGAGCGTTATAATCCCTCCCTCCGGAGTCAACTTCTTCTACTCTCCATCTTTCAACACTTCGTCCATTTCGTGTTTTCCAAACGTTCGTTGCGACAAAATGTCTGCAGAACTCGCCACTGATCCTAGTCCGCGGAGCGAGAAATCTGTATCTGCTCATCCATTCTCCCCGCTATCGGCATCAGAACTCCAAGATGCTGCGGCAATCATCAAAGCTTCATGGCCAGCGCACACAGACCTGCATTTCAAGGTCGTGACGCTGCAGGAACCACCAAAAGTCGAGGCACTGAAATATCTGGAGGCTGAGCATAGCGGCAAGCCACTTCCATCAATCGCGAGAAAAGCTTTTGTCAATTACTACATCCGGAACACTGTATGTGCAAAGATGTTGGAAGTATGACTCGCGGCTAATTAGTCGGCAGAACAAATTCCACGAGGCTGTCGTGGACTTGACCTCACGTCGCGTAGATCGCAACGTCCTTCTAGGGCCCTTTGTCCATGCCAACGCGGATGGCGATGAAATCGTCGCTATCGAGAAACTTGTCCTGACCGATGAGAAAGTACAAGCGGAGATTGCCAAGCTCGAGCTCCCTCAAGGCACAGTAGTAATCAGCGACCCATGGATCTACGGGTCCGACGGCGTTGGAGACGAAGATAGGCTGTGGCAATGCTTCCTATACCTCAGGGACCCGATGAACTCATCAGAAGCCGACTCCAACCACTACGCAATGCCACTTCCTATCTCGCCCGTGGTGAGCACAGAGAAGATGGAGGTCATTCGCGTTGATATACTACCGACTGGTGCAGACAACACCATCAAGCCGGTTGAAAAGTACAAGATTCAACCGCCCAACGAGTACATACCCGAGGCCCAACAACTGCGCACCGATCTCAAGCCGCTTAATGTTGTCCAACCGGAAGGTGCTAGCTTCCAAGTCGAACAGCAAGGCACATCAAATGTCATCTCATGGCAGAAATGGAACTTCCGCGTTGGTTTCAATCAGCGCGAAGGTATGGTACTGTATGACGTCCGTTACGACAACCGCAGCCTGTTCTACCGAATGAGCTTGTCGGATATGAACATTCCCTATGCGGACCCCCGCCATCCCTACCACAAGAAGAGCGCGTTCGACTTGGGCGATGTTGGTGCTGGTATCATGGCGAACAACCTCAAGCTGGGCTGCGATTGTCTGGGTTCTATCTACTATCTCTCAGCCGTACTCGCCGACAACCACGGTGGGTCTGTGGAGATGCCCAACGTTGTATGCGTCCACGAGCAAGATGCTGGAATCGGTTTCAAGCACACCAACTACCGCACCGGTCGCGCTGTTGTCGCTCGAAACCGGGAGTTGGTGCTCCAGAGCATCATTACCGTAGCCAACTACGAGTACATCCTAGCCTTCATCTTCAACCAGGCCGGAGAAGTCGATTACGAAATCAGGGCTACCGGCATCCTGAGCACGCAGCCTATCGACGAAGGTGTCGAGGTGCCCTTCGGTACAGTCGTGCACCCCGGTGTACTTGCCGTCCATCATCAACATATATTCTCATTGCGCGTCGACCCTATGATAGACGGGTATGACAACAGACTCGTGTACGACGAGGCGTTCCCGATGCCGCGCTCAGACTTCAACCCCCACGGTACTGGCTACTACGTTCAAGAGACGGTTGTAGACAAGTCTGGCGGCTACGACATCGCATACGAGAACAACCGCACCTTCAAGATCCAAAACCCGAACGTGCGAAATCCCATCAACGGAAAGCCAGTCGCATACAAGATCCAAGCGCCGCCGTTCCAAAAGATCCTTTCCGACAAGGACTCTTTCAACTACAAGCGCGCCGAATTCTCCGACCACAACATCTACGTCGTCAAGCACAAGGACGGCGAGTTGTACGCTGGCGGTACCTACACCAACCAGAGTCGTGGTGGAACGGGAGTGCGGAGTTGGGCGGAGAGGAACGACAACGTCAAAGACACGGACTTTGTCGTCTACATCCAAGCGGGCATCAACCACGTGCCTCGTATTGAGGACTTCCCCGTTATGCCTTGCGAGATCATCAAGATCCATATGAAGCCAGTCAACTTCTTCGATAAGAACCCTGCGCTAGACGTACCGCCGAGTGAGCAGGCGTTCAACAAGAGCAGTTTGTTGAGCGAGCAGCACCAGCAGCCGAGTGTTACTGCGACGATTGGTGAGGATGGTACGTGTTGTACGCCGTCGGCGGCAAAACTATAGGGTTGTAGTTTTCATGAATTGAACACCATCACGAATTTTTGCGAAAATTAATTGTGAGGTATCATGTGATCGTCCAAAGCCAAGATTGACATCGATGCAAAGCTACGAGCATGAAAAAGGATGTGAATATAGTAAGATGCGTTGAAATTGTGGACGAACCGTGTCTAACCTTGGAAGGGAAGAGTTGGTCGTGTGCCTGCTCAGCAGGTAAGACGCGCCAAGCCTAGAGTCGCGCTAGTGACGGTCCAAAGCTCATGCCTCGCGGAACCTTCGAAGCCTCAAAGAAACACTCACTCGATCTCCTGCGATATCCCGACCCTCTTTCACCGCGTATCTTCCAGCGATCTCTTCATCGATATCGAGTCTGCATAGCGATGGCGCCCAACGACAAAGCGGGCAGAGTTGTTTTCATCGGCAACATTCCCTACGGTATGCGACTACTCACCCTGGAGCCTACATTGACGCCAGATCTTCCCAATCTGCGTCTTTAACACCGCTGTATTCCTAAACCGAGCTAACAAACCCAGGCGGCACTGAAGAGCTCATCATCGAAACCCTCGGGCGCGTCGGACAGGTGCTCAACTTTCGCTTGGTGTACGACAAGGAAACCGGGCGCCCCAAGGGCTTTGGGTTCGCAGAGTTCGCCGACGCTGACGCCGCAGCCTCCGCCGTGCGCAACCTCAACGACTACGATTTGATGGGCAGGAAGCTGAGGGTCGACTGGTCCAACGAGAGCGGCTCCGGCGACAACGCGCCTTCCAATCGCGACCAGACCACACAGCCAGCCATGAACGGCCAACAACCCGCAGCGCCAGCACCGGCGCAACCGTCGAGCGCGCTGGGCCCTCTTCCACCAGGCGTCGAGCTGCCGCCCAACCTCACCTGCCCCGATGCCATCTCGCGCACCCTCTCCACGCTCCCTCCCGACCAGCTCCTCGATATCCTCTCGCAGATGAAAGGCCTCGTCATGACGGATCCCGCCAAGGCGACGGAGTTGCTGCGACAAGCGCCTCAGCTGGCTTATGCCATCTTTCAGTCGCTACTGCTCCTCCAGCTGGTCGACCCACAAATCCTGACCTCGCTTGTGGAGACATCGGCCGCGCCTGCCCCAGTTGCGCAGGCTCCACCTGTTCAGCAAGTACAGCAGCCACCACCGCAAGTTGCGCGACCGCCTGTGAACTACCCCGGATACCCACCACAAGTCGCGCCTACACCTCCCCAAACTCAGCCACCCGTCGCGCAGCCGTACGCGCAGCCTCCACAGCAGCAGCAACCACAAGCGCCTGGAATGGACCAGCAGGCGCTGTATGCCCAAGTCATGGCGCTGTCGCAGCAGCAGATTGATCAACTAGCACCAGAGCACCGCGCCCAAATCCTGCAAATACGGCAGATGTTGATGGCTGGTGGGCGGCCCTAGTTACGCCGAGACTCCCAGCAACTTCATAAGAAGCGGAAAGTTGGCCTTGGTCTTGCTATGAAAGACCGCTTATTCCACGAGCGGGGTGCGGAGGTCCTTTGGTGCATACTACGCGACGTAGGACAGAGCACAACACAACCTGATCTCATCGCACGGATCTTACTGGAAATCATGGAATACCCCGATCGCTCTTTAAGGGCGCAGTGCTTGAAAGAAGCGATGTTCACATTTGGCTTGTACAGCATGAACACTCTCCCAGAAGAAAGCGAGACCTGGGAAATGATGAGTCGTAATCTGGATGGAGCATCAGACTCTGGATTCGAATCGGATGACTCAGGCTATGCAGATGGTGATGGATTGGACGTGCAGAAACGTGAAGGAACATGTGGAGTGTAATGAGTGGCTCCTCAGAAGGGCTGCACAGCACAGTCGCGAATAGATGCACACAGGTCGCACAAGCCTGATTAATGCAAAAATGGATTCAATGTCACACGCGCGCCTTGTTTTTGTTGTAATCCTTGTCGATGCGACTGGGTGATGTTTGACTATCAACGATCGGGTTTAAAGATTTCGGCGGCCTAACCAACATTGAACATGCAAGATAACTACACTGATGGCCTCGGAAATCTCCGCGCGCCTTGACTGTGTCGGATGAAGGTCGTGGGAGGAGCTCGCAACACGCAGCAAGAGCTACTACTAGCTACCAGAACCACAAGCCTAGATTTCCGCGCCCCAGGCTGCACAGTTCACTTTGATCAACATGTTCTCGATGACAGCGAGAACAGCCCCGGAAGAAGCCCCGGTAAAGATCCGCAGAAGAAGCGTTTGCCATCGGGCAGCTATTGGCCCAGCCTCGCCTCCATCCCGTGTGGATCGAGCTAACCCTTGCCGCCAACTCACTCGGTTGCTGGGGCTTACGTCCCAAGCCGAGCACTTCAGCTGCTCTGCACCACACCAATCTTTGCGATTAGTACCGCGAGAGGCTGCTTTGGTTGTCCTTGGGCATTGCGCGCATACTTTCCTAGCCATTCTGCATCGGAAACCTGTACTATATCATCACGACATGACGATTTGAACGATTCTCTCTCACTTGCGACTGTCTGCAGCGATATACCCAGCATATCCCACCAAGAGACTCATCTCATTTGCGCCCGACCCATTGCCAGCACCACTTTGTAATAACAACGCATCCGCGCCCCCGCGATCCTGACTGCAGTCCTGCGCCATCATGTGGAGCAGATTGACCGGTAGCTCTGCTGCCTCCAACAGCAACAAGGACGAGGAAAGTCGCCGCCGCCGTACTAGCGACTCCACGCGTTCCAAGCGCGACCCAGACGCCCGCTCCGTCGTGTCATCCTCGACGACGCGCAAGCCATCGACATCGACCTCATCTAAACGTGACACTGCGCCTTCCGCGTCTTCGATTGCCTCCTTCACGACTGCCTTCGACGAGATGCCGCGCTCACGGGCCACAACAAACAACACGAGCGGTCCCTACGACGACGACAACATGCGTCGCGACGATCGCCGCAGCAGCTATGCCGAGTCGTCCAGCTCGACACTGCGCGACGACAAGGACCGCAAGACGGGCAAGGCCAAGGACAAGAAGCTCGAGAAGCGCCGCTCGACGCGCTCAGTGCGGTCCGGCAGCACGTCGCAAACTGGCGCCGGCTACAGGGGCGAGATTGTTGACAGTCCCAAGTCGGTCCAGCGCAGCTTCAGCGGCCAGATTGGCAGCGACGGCTTCTCGCAGTTCCCAGGACAGGCAGGAGCGCCCATGATGTCGGGCGCTCTGCCAGTAGGAAGCCACCCACCACACCACGACGACATGGACGATCACGTGCAGAGCCAGTTCCCCGGCCAGGACCCTCTGCGATACACCTCGAGCGCGCTCCCTGGCGGCCATCCATTCGGAGCGGCTGCCGACTTCTACAACGACCAAGGCCAGTCAGTGCACCAACAGCCTGGCGTGAGGCCCCAGCCGCCCTCTGTCATCATAGGACAGGATACCCCCCATCTCATGTCTGCCTCCGCGCAGCCCAACCCGGTTGCCGACACCGGATCGGGCGCCGCTGCAGACTTCTACGGGCCCAGCACAAATGGCTCTTCATCCAGGCCTCCACGACCATCGAGCTCGTCCATGCCCGGTGCCTTCGTCGACGACACCCCGACGCCCCAGAAACCACCGCGACCCGCATCTTCGTCGAGACCCAACAAGTCGAGCACCTTCGGCCCAGCTGCTACTGCGGCCGGCGGAGCTGCCCTGGGATATGCCATGGGCCACAGCTCCTCTAATCACGAACACACCACGAGCTACAGCTCATCGAATGTTCGCCCTTCTACATCATACTCTTCTTATACTAATAATACCCCCCCGGCTGCTCCGGCTTCCACGTACAACATGTACGGCCCGGGATCTAATGCTTCTAATACCGCTGCCAACGACGGCAGCTACCTCCCACCCTATGCTGCAGCCGCCGCCTACGGCGTGGAAGGCGCGCCTCCTCCAAAGCCACCTCGGCCAGCCAAGCCAGAAAAGCACTCGTCTGGCAGCATGGCTGGACTGTACGCTGCTGGCGCCGCAGGACTGGCGGCTTATGGCTTAAACCAACATAATTCACATTCACACACCCACTCCAACACCCACACACACTCGCATAGCACACACCATCACCCGTCGGCGCACGGCCCGAACGGACATCATCAGAATGGCCTTACGCCCAGTCCATACATCTCAGGCGGCATGGCTCACCAGCATCAGCACACTGGGCCTGTTTCCAAGTTTGTCGACTGGTGGAAAGACTACGAGGATGTGCAGAAGATGGAAGAGTACACCGAGTACATTGGAGTTTGCAAGGGTTGCTTTGACCCTCGCTCTTCCGTTCTGGACGCCCCGCGGAAGCACCACTACTACAAACGGCGATCCAATGAGTTCATGCGACCCACTGGTGGCATTGAGAAGCAATCTCGATACTCGCTCAAGGAGAAGAAGTCTTGGGGCTCAATCTCTTCGGGTGAGGAGCGTCGCAAGAACAAGAGCAGCGCCGCGGGCTGGGTAGCTGCAGGCCTGGGCGGCATTGGCCTTGCCAAGGCTGGAAAGGCTGTCTTCAGCGCGGGCCGCGACGACTTTGACGACACATACAGCATCAAGTCTGGTCGGTCGAGGGTCTCACGACACAGCCGCAGCAGATCAGGGGATCGCAAGAGTTACAGCTATGGCAGCTCTGGCATCCGCCACCGGAGCAATTCCGCCGACCGCATTTCCGTGATGTCCGTGGGCGTTACGAGCGACAAGAAGGACCGTAAGGATCACAAGGTTGTTCGCCGTCAGTCTCGGTCGCGCCGTTCTCGATCAAGCTCAACTTCAAGCTCCAACTCAGGACGCGGCAAGACAGGCCTGATCGGCACTGCCATTGGTGCAGGTCTTGCAGGAGTCGCCCTTGGAGCGGCCACAAAGAAGAAGCAGCACAGTCGATCCAGGTCCCCGAAGAGGGTTCAAGTGGTTCATCACCGCAGAGACAGCAGTGACGATGAGCGTCGTAGGAGAAGATCGCATTCACTCCGACACAAAGCATCTCGAAGCTCAACATCCGGAGCCTCTGTCATCGAAATTGGCCAGAATCACGAGTCCCAGGGTGGCTTCCTTGGAGGCTTCTTCTCTGCACCTCCACCAAAGGAGAAGCGAGTGAAGACAGCCAATAGCCTGAAGAAAAAGAAGAAGGGCTTCTTCAGCTTCAGCAATGCTTCAACATCCTCATCCGACTCCGAGATGGCATTCGGCACCGGCTACGTAAGGAGGACGCGGAGACGATCATCGCCGAAGAGACGAAACTCGGATGAGCGACTGAAAGCTTCGCTACTTGGTCTTGGCGCTACGGCTGCTGCTATCACAGCCGCGAAGGCCGGCAAGGGCAAACGCCACAACGAGATCGTTGCTGTTAAGGAGAACCGTCTTGGTCGCAAGACAAGTCAAACTTCGCGGCCCGCCTCACGTTACGGGGACGACGAGTGGGAGGACTTGCCAGACGATGGTACTTCCGACTCCTCGAGTGATGGCGGTCTCGTATACGGCGATTATTCCCTGAAGAAGACCAAGAGCAACGAGTCTATCGGATCCAACCACTCAGGTACGAACAAATGGGGCTGGCGATGGGGCTTTGGCAAGAAGAGAAGGTCTTCCAACAACCTCTACGACAACATCGCTAGTACATCGCTCATTGGGCCTGCCGCAGCTGGCGCAGCAGGTGCCTTGACCGGCGCAGCTGTTGGAGCTGCCCATGGACACCACGACAGCGAGTCTAGCAGCGCTCAAACATTGCAGTCGGTCTATCCTGTTGCACCCCATGACCCCAATGCGTCGTTCGATGCACGCCGTACAAGCTCTATCGTCACCAATCAGCCTATTGTCACCTCAGGACCTGGTCCCATCCCCATTCAACACCCTCAGCCAGTGCAGCAAGTCCCCGGCGCCATCTACTCAACACAGGCACCATCACAATCTGGGTACACCACAGCAGGTCCTTCAGACTTCCCACCAGCACCTTTCCCACCTCCTTATCCCACGCAGTCTCAAGTTCAGAACATTATCATCCAAAGTCCTCAGCATCCTCAATTCCGTCGGGCAAACTCTTCTCCCATCCAAAGCTCCTCATGGAGGCGAGATGCCTCTATTGCTGGACTTGCAGCGACTGCCGGATTTGCAGCAGTTTCTGCGATGAAACACCCCGACCGACCTCCGAGCCGACCGCCGTCCGCGTCTAGCAATGTTCGCTTCAACTTGACACAAGAGCAGGCCGAGAAGGACCTCCGTGAGCGACGCAAGGAGCAGGAGCGACTGGACGAGGAGGCCGAGCGTCGCCGAGAACAACAGAGACGCGAGGACGAGGCGCGCCGGGAAGAGGAAGACCGAGTGCGTCGGGAACAGCTGCGACAAGAGGAAGAGGCCCGGCGAGCGGCACTTGCGCTCCGTGAGGAAGAGGATCGCCTGCGCAAAGAACGGC